CTGTTCATTAACAGCAGAACAGAAAATGACTAACTGAAAATGAATATTATAGTTGTTTATTTAATTCTTAAATAATATTAATAATCTTAAATAATAATAATATTAATAAATAAATAAATAAATTCTTAATTTTTATTTTTTTCTCTGAATATAATATTATGGGTTTTGAATTGCCTGTAATAAATTATTATTATTATTTTTGTTATTGTGATAATTGGCTGGTACATTCGTGAATACATATAAGAAAGACAAGCTTAAAAGCAAACATTTTAGATCTTTTATAATTAGTAAAAATTCTTTATAAACTACTACATATTTTATTTTATTTTTATTACAATATCTAATCTTAAATCGAGTTTAAATTATTTTTCTTTGAATGAATTATGGTTATTATTTCTTGTAGATGGATATTCTATTACAGAAAGTTAAAATGGCGTGTTTTTTTTAAAATTAAGTTTACTATAAGATAGTTAATACTTTCTTGCAAACTTTTCATTGGTATAAATAAACAAATCGATAGCGCTGAAATATTAACGAAGTTCTACGAACTGTTCAAAAATTTAAATCTACTCTGGTTTACTTTCCCCGGTCGCGGCTGTATAAAGATCGATATGAAAATATTTATTTAATAGTTTTATATTATACTAGCATTGCCCGCGGCTCCGCCCGCGTTCAGATGACCAAAAATCAAATTCTTATGAATTGTACATATTAGCATATTATACTCTTATATTGCAGTTTTTGTATTTTTTCTCAGAAATGAGATATTTTCCCGCGGTAAAAAGTATCCTATATATTGACCCGGAAAAACAGCTACCATCATACATACATATGTCTATTGCAATAAGATTTTCCAAAAAATATTTAATGTACAGATTCGGCTTAGTTAGAATTTTATTATATGTATAGACTAGCGACTTACGTTCGATTCGCTCGGGTTCATCTCTAAGTACGTTTTAACGGTTAGTATGGAATACTATACTATAAGTAATTTTTCAAATCGGATTAGTAGTTCTTGAGATTATTGCGTTCAAACAAGCAAACTTTGCCCTTTTATAATATTAGTATAGATTAAAGGATCGTGGACGTGGTACGATTATTGACTGCGAAAACTTTAAATAATTTCTTTAAATTAAATTATACCTTAAATCCTTAAAACTATGTTACTTACGTATAACTTTTGCACAGTAATATTTTCTTGAAAATATAGAACCATTTTCAAATAATAATGGATAATAATAACAACGTCAAAACAAAATTTATTGTGCAATCATAATTTATTTTAAAATATATCTGAAAATAACATTAAAAATTCAAATAATAGTATTAAAAATGTTTTAAAAGACAAAAAAATCGAAAGTGCATACTATAAGACTTCCGCGATACCATCCAGACAAAGAGAGACAATAGCATTCCCAAGGAGGGTTGACGTCAGGCAGGCGGTCGGTCGTAAAACTTTTGCCAAATCCTATCAGCAGTACAGAAGATGTACTACGCCGACCTCAAGTGATTGGGAAATGGGCAGGGAGAAGAAGAAGAAGAATGGATAATAATAATGAATAAATATATTATAAAAATAAAAAACCCGACTGCATAAAAGCTAACTAAAAAAATGAAAACAAGTTCACGAAGGAATATCGTAGTTATTATGCAGTCGGAGACATACACTTTCCATCCTTACTTCCATACTCGTATGTCATCATCTTTTAGTTAGCTTTTATGCAGTCGGATTTTTTATTTTTATAATATTATATTTATTTATTTACAGCTTTTTAAGTATTTTGAATTAAGAAAATTAGCGAGAATGGTTGTTAACCAACTTTAAAACATTATAATATAACCTAATCTGTTATTTAAAATGAATAATACAGGGATGTTATACCTTTTTGGAATTCTGGCTGATGATCCCTTAAATTTGATACCCATATTGTAGAAAAAGAAGATTAAAAATATTCACCTTAATGAAATTTAACAGCCCCAATTTTTTTTTATGTCACCTATCTAAGAACGCTTGGACTAATGAGACGAATCTAACGATACCTTAATTAAAGAAATGGTTTGGAATGAATGTGGTTTGGAAGATATGAAGGAATAAAGTATATTACAAACAAACAAACAAACATAAAAAGACAGGCGCGAAAAAACCCTTTCCTTGCAGTCGGGCAAAAATGTATAGGTTTCATACAAACTTTCATCCTATATTTTACTCCTTTATAGGATGAATTACAAAAAATGCTAAAACATATATTTATTTAATTGTATTGAAGAGCATTATTACCAAGTTTCAAGTAATTCTGATCCTAAAAATATTTTTTGGGTGTTATTATAAACGTGTTTTCCCGTGGGAATTATATAATCTCCCGCCGTAAAAAGTACCACTCTCCAGCCCTCCAACTATGTCCACATAAATATCACGCCAATCCGTCACTCTGTTTCTACGTGAAAGAAGGACAAACAAACAAACAAACACACTTTTACATTTATAATATAAGTATGGATAGTAAAATTTTGTGATACGCAAAAAGGTCCACAAAAGCCATTCAAATATATTGCCAAAGGTTCTAACCCTAAACTAAATGAATGTACCAAATTTTGCATGCTCAAGGGAATTGGGTTGTAGGGCATTGATGACCTAAATACTATTAGGTACTATTACTAGAGTGGATACGGTCATATTTCTAGGTCATGTAGGATCTAGCTTTCACTTTTCGTTAGCTTCTAAATTTAAAATTTTATTTACTCTTATGTGTTTTTTATTGTTGCTTTAGTATACCTATAGATATACATAGCTAGCTCATTTTGCTTTTTTGACAATTTTTTTTTTAAATATACAGATATTATATAGGTTAAAAAATATAGATAAAATATATAAAGTATCCTATATTAAAATTTTAGAAAACTAACTATACCACTCTAATGCTTGGAATTCTATCTTGTTTATATGATAATTTACAATATAACTATACATTAAGAAACGAGTTATTAAAATCGGTTCATCAAAGTACAAATAAATTGAAAACCTCCTCTTTTTTAAACTCGATCAAAGATGAATAGTGACAGCTGTATCAGTTTTGCGGCAATGCTGTAGATCCAAACACTATTAAATTATGCTAACGGATATTCCCACTAATGCTAACCCACACTAATATCCAGTGCCAGATTTAAACTTAGCACCGCCCCTGGGCCATAGAAAAAATGCCGCCTTTTTATCGAAATTTTGCATAAAATAGGTAAAATTTTGATAAAGTTTAATTTTTTTATTAATGATTTTTTGAAAAATGCAAAAAAAAAATGTATAAATGATTTCAATTTTTCGAAAAATGTACTAGTTAATTTTTTTTATTATTTATTTTTGGAAAATAAAAAAGCATTGTCGAAAACGCGAAGAATTTTTTTTCCAAAGTATGTAGAACCTATATATATATTATATTAATATATATATATAGGTTCTACATATGGATATTCTTTGATTAATTTTACAGGTGAAACCATACAATTTCTACCTATAACATTTTAACATTTTGTGTTTCACATCTCTGCCCCGATTGCATCGCTTTGTATTCACTAAAGCGCCTACACTTTTTTCATCCATTCATATCTTTTAGAGACTTTGCTATAAGTTTTTTGTGCTAACATAAAATATGTACACAATTCTGATAAAACACAGATATGTGTATAGAAATGAACTGTTTGAAGGTCAACTGTATCTTCAGAGTTCAGGCTGTTTCTTCAAGCGGATTAAATAAAACATATATTTTTGATGCAAGTGTTAAAAAAAACTGTAAAGAAAAAATAACAGCAAGTTCTTTTATATCAATCAAATTGATTTTGATTAATACAAGCGACTTATCCTTGCTTTGCTCGGGTGCATCCCTAATGCCTTTGGTTTTCGCGTCATAATCTATTTGTGTATTAAGCTTCATACAAATCCATATCCGTTTGGTCTAGTGGCTATTATTTACGGCTGCAGATCGTAATATCTCGGGTTCGAGTTGAATTGAGAAATTGTATCAAACTCTTTTATGTTGGTTTGTAAAAAGTTTTTAATAATATTGACTGTTCATGTCATCTGTACTAATTAAAGAACTGTTACGTTGGTCATGCTAGTTACTAAGCTAGCCTCGATAATTGCTAAATATAGGTCCTAGGACCGACTCCCGATTCTGGCCCAAAAAAGCTATTGAATTTTTCACATCGACGGCTTTAGCCTAGTCACTACCCTCATGCGTCAGGGAGTACCTACGTAATGTTGTTGGCCCTGCGCTGATCACTGGTCATGTCGTCCTTCTGGAAAACGAGAGAAAAAGAAATAGAGAGTGCACAATAATATCTCCTGCGCAGATCGCTAGCCTCAGGGAGATTGATTGCCTTGACCAAAATTAGGTTAAGAGGTCATTTTAACATAATATAATATTCTTAATAATGTCCTTCTAACCAATGTAGAGCTGCTTTAATATTCATGAGAGAAATACGCAATATATTTTTCGTACATTGACCATAAAGCATAAATATTTATGTTTGTTTTTTACATGTCTATATATGATTTTATTACGATAAAACTTTATTCTCATTAAGGTACCTATCTAAGCAGGCATATACTATACATATGCCTGTGATATTTAAAAAAATCATTATAAATTTAAAATAATGTATCAAAACTTTCAAATTTTTAATTTATCAACTATGTTGTAATGTAGGTATAAATAGTAAGCAGAAGTAAACATTTTATTTACATTATTCCACGTCGATATTTATTTTTACTTTAGTTTGTCATATTTCGGCGAAAATTCAAAGTGCTAAGTGTCGCTAAATATTATATTTGTCTGACGATTAGGTTTTCCCAAAATATATTTTAAGTATTCATTAAAACTCCTGAAGACATCAGAAATTTCCAGAAATGGCGATATCAAATAAAAATAAAACAAAATAATATTAAAACATTCGGAGGTATTTAATATTTCATAGTCAACAATCAGGTATTTATATTATGAGTTTATCTAGTGGAGGGCTACAACGGGTATAGCTTTAACTGCAGAATGGCTGACCACAGAGCTGCTGTGAGATACTGCGGAAGGGGCGGACTTAACTACGACTGGGGCAACAGCGTGGACCACTGGGTGGTGGACGGCATGGACCACTGGGGCAGCGTGTACGGCGTGGACCACTGGAGCAGCGTGTACGGCGTGGACTGAGTGAACAACAGGAGCTGAGACAACAGCACTCTTAACATGGACCACGGGGGTATGGACCGCGTGCACGCTGCCGTGGTTCACAACCTGGCTGCTCTTAGTGATGGTGGTTTTAGAACCAACCACAGGTACGGTGTGGACCACTGGGGCAGCGTGGACAGCGACCACGGGGGTTTCATGGCTTACTAGAAGGGTAGGTGCGGCGGCAGCGCACGCCAGGAAAGCAGCGAAGACTACCTGTAAAGTAATATGCTTTATTATTAAAAATGATCAGAAATTACCAACAAATAACACTAAATCTAGAACCAATTACCACTAACAATGGCGGTTTGTGTGAAACAGACATCTCAACAATGATATTATAAATTCAAGAATTCAATAAAATTCTGTAGTAGTATTGTCTAGAAAAATAACATTTTATTAGTTTGTTTTAGATAGAAAGTTTCATCAGTCCGAACTTCGAACCAATCGCTGCCGTCTGTTGGAAATTGAAAAGCGAAAAGTTTGTCTCGGATTTTCACATTGTGTAAAACTGGATTCGGGTATCGACGTTTTCATTTCGTTTCACTTCGAACTCGAACTTTTAATTAGTTTTGCTTACTATTCTTTAATAAAAATGTTGAGGAGTCCTTTATATGTTACATAGAATTATTTATTATTGTAGGCGGATAGTGATTTTTACTTTTTAATAACAAACAAGTCAAAAAATGGTAGAGATTTAAAGTTTATTATCGTTTAAATGTCGTCTCATCTAGCGAGCACGTCCCAAAGTCGTAAATGTAGATAAAATTATAAGATAATATGTTGAAATATAACTTTATAATTGAAAATCTTTGTAAGTTCATGAGCTACGTTAAAAATAAGTAAATCTTAAGATTAAGAATCTTAAACAAGCACCATTGATTAAGTTTTAAAAATATTTAGAAACTATTTCCAACTAAAATGCTACCGTTCTTTTAAATAAAAGCGCTTTTTATCGTAAAGCTGTGCGAAAAACTAAGCATTTTAAATGTGATGTTATAAACCGCCGTAATTATTTATTAGTTTAATATAGCTTTAAAGCTAAAAGTAATATGATAATCAGTTTAAAGTATTAAGAAAACGAATTGTTAACACCGAACACTAAAGCGTGCTTAAAACTCTCGTACGAAACATATAGAGCTCTTGTTGTTTATACTAAACTAGCGACTCACCCTCGCTTCCAACAATTTCGTTCTCTAACAAATATCGTTATATTTTAGCCAATGTATACAAAAACTTAACTAATTATATACTAAAACCTTCCTCTTGAATCACTCTATCTATTAAAAAAAGCCGCATCAAAATCCGACGCGTAGTTCTAAAGATTTAAGCATACATAGGGATATAGGGACAGAGAAAGCGACTTTGTTTTATACTATGTAGTGATAATATTATATAGTGCACTTCACACACTTCCACATTATAACCAAAAAATAACTTACGAATTTCTGCATGTTGATTGTTTTGTTGTTTTTTTTTTAACTTAACAAGTTGTCAAGTCGAGCTTGCCGAATTATCTAACTACTGGACATCGGCCCACAGTATTTATACTGCCGAAATCTACACTATTTGCAAGGTGTTCTTGACTGCAAATGACGTATTAAACGAGCTTATTTGAAGGTGGTAAGTAGCTTTAGGCCTTTTAAATTTCATATTAAGTATATTCATTTATTATGATTTTGGTATTGAATTAAATTGTAATATTATTTCGTAGATTCTGCTTTTCGAATATTATTTATGTAATAATAAATAATATAGTACATAGAATAAAATAAAAAATTAAGTTTTTTTTTCATTTCTATTTAAACAATTAATCTGTATATATAAATATTATAAATGTGAAAGTTTGTGAGTATGTATGTTTGTTACACGTTCACGCCAGAACGGCTATATGGATCTGGATGAAATTTGGCACAGAGATAGATTTTAGTCTGGAATAACACAAAGTCTACGTTTTATCCCGGAAAAATATAAGGTTCCCGAGGGATAGATTTTTTTTTGTTTTTGTTTGAGCCGCTAGTAATGTAATATATTATACAATATTAATGTAAATTAAAATTAATTTAAAATGAATCATATTTAGTATGGGCACTTATTTATACATAAGTCTGGTTGTGTATATTTAACGCTATACTTTACAGGAAATTGAATATCTGTGGGTTTGTTTTGGTATAGGGCAGTGACCTTCAAAATTGGATCACAGATATCTATTTATGTGTGTATTGTGGTAAAAACATTTTCGTCCAATAGAATAAAAGAAAATTGCTTGCGAATGATACTTGTATTAGAAATCCTAAGGACTCTTTTTTTAAATCGGAATAAAAAGACCTTTGTTGTAATGAATAGGCTACACTGATAAATTCTTGAAATTAATTTTCAACCGACTTCAAAAAGGAGGAGGTTCTCAATTTGGCTGTATTTTTTTTAATTTTTATATGTTTGTTACATCAGAACTCCGTCATTTATTAACCGATTTGGACAATTTTTGTTTTGTTTGAAAGTGTGTACTTTCAATTTGATCCCATTTAAATTTAAAAAAACATACCACCTCTAAGGGTGAAAAAATAGCATAAATAAAAATTTAACCTACTTTTAATTGTCATATTGATTTGAAAATTTATCTTTTAAAGTACTTTAATTTTATAACACCGAATAGTCGAACAGATGTTTGATATTAATTTTTAAATATTATCATATTTTAGGGAATTCCTAATATTTTATTCTTATTAACTATAAATTAACATTCATTAAATTATCAAACATCAGTGTTTTTTTACTTTATCATGGTACCCATGAAGTATGAATGCCGCATCCATAAAAACTTTCGTTTCAATGACATAATAAAGTTATTAAATATTATGCCGAGTCATGAATAAATCAATGTAAACAGAACAAGATCTTAGCCAAGTAGGTTGATGCCAAGTTCACTCTGTCAAGTTGGCATTACGTAACCTCAAAAGGAGGTTACTATCAAACCTTAATTTTTTTTATATTATTTGAATTAATATAATCATGAAATTACAGTTAATTTAACTTGGTTAACTTTTAACTTGGTTTCAGTTTAACTTATTTTGGTATTTTAAGAAATTGCAAAATGCAAATTGCGAATTTTTTGTACTTATTATTAACCGAATTCAAAAAAGGAGGAGGTTCTGAATTCGACGGATTTTTTTTTAAATTTTTATAAAGCTATAAGTCAATCTTTTAACTATTTTCGGATGCGATATAAAGAAAACCGGATATTCATCTTGTTTATGTATTTTTGTGTCACAAAAGTGCTGAAGGTAAAGTTCACAACGCTGGATAAATGCGGACTGGCTTCTCACGGATTCTCTCAGACATGTAAGTGTCCTCAGAATGATTTCCTTCATCGGAAGTAGTCGTGTTGAAAACGAAAGTGCGACCGTGTTGCTGATTGCAGCTCATAAGCTTTACTACCATTTTAAGAACTTTATTTTAAGAGATGTCAATAGAGCTGAATTATTATTATACATAATGATTATAATATTTTGAGCAAAACATCAACGATTTAAGAATTCTATTGGCCATATTCTATTATTTTACAATAAGCTCTTTATTTATTACTTTGAGATTAAGAAGCTTCCTATTAGTAAATTTTTTTTATGCTAATATATGTTTCAACATTTTTGAAAAGAAAATTTCTTTAGCTGCGTTGAGCGATTTTTGCTAGGCGTAAAACTTATGGGTTCGCATCACCGACATGCTACGTGTGACATGTGACGTGTCGACGCAGTCCGGCGCGAACTGGCGAGGCACAGCGTTATATGTTTCGATTAATAAATAAACTATATCAAAATAATTAATAATTATTGCTCGGAGTGTCAATAGATGTGAAAGCTATACTAATAATAATTTCAATTTATTATGCAATTTTAATTATTTATATTATAATTAATTAAAAAATTATGCCAAAATTATAAATTTCACTTCTGTCGGCAGTCTCCATGACTAATTTTAATATATATTTTTTGGTAATTTGAGATATATTTAAGATTTTACCAAATCACTGCTGATAGAATGCTAATTTTATTTTAACAGAGTGACAAGTTGAACAAGATTTAACTCAATTAGAATATCGTATGACTTTCAATTACATCTACTTATATCGAAGGCTTTTGTATTTCCTCATATCCTTTACAGTTTAGCTGTTAAGGTTACTTATTAAGTTTGGAAAGTTCTAGGTTATTTTAAATAAAACTATCTTTTCGGATTATTTCGCGGTTTTATTTTGATTTTTGGTTCCCGACGTTTCGAATGCTTTACAACAATCATGGTCACGGGAGAGATTGAGGTGTTAGATGTCTCTAAGGCATTATATAGTTGTTACAGATAGCCTACCCACAAATAACAAAATGAAAATTGCACCAATTACCTTTAAACATTTTTATAATTTTAATTAGTTTTATAATTGAATATGGAATATTATTTATTTAATTTTGCTGTTATTATAATTATTACAATTTTAAAATTATTAATTAGTAATCTATATTTAGTGTTCTAGTGTTAGTAGTTGTAGGTTAATTTCTTGTAACTAAATAAAAGTACGCACGATTTTTTTTAATGGATACAGCTTATATTCATCCTGAATGTCCATTCTGAACATCTTTAAGCTTACAAACTTTATTTCTACACCATATAACTGAAATTTATAATATTAATATTGACTTCCATCGCTTTGCTCATAGATATAAATAGTTATTGCGAATGTACTCCAGGAGAAAAACTTATGCTAATGCAGATTTTTGCATGTCGATCCCTTGCTGTGTGAAAAAATATCTTTCCCACGGGAACCGTACAGTTTTCCGAGGTAAAAAATAATCTATGTGCTATTCCAGGCTATAATCTATCTCTGTGCTAAATTTCATCCAGATTTGTTTAGTTCTTCTGGTATGATAGAGTAACAAACATCCATCTATTCAAACTTTCGCTTTTATATGTTTAAACTGGTCAACTAGTAGTTATTATTATGAATTAAACCTCCGCAGACATAAATACATGATTAAATTTGATTTTCATTTGATTTTTATATGAACTTTCGTATTATACATACAACTTTACTTTAACACTAAGTATGTCCGGTCTACGGTCATTTTAATATAATCTTCAAGTTATATTTCTAGCATGCCATTTCCAAAGTAATAACCTTATGAAATAGATTGTGAGGCAACAGTACATGCTTTAATAAAAGGACTTTTGAGCAGCAGCGGATTTCGCCATGATTACTGTTTCGCATGTTATCAGTAATCGCGGTTTTGATTTCTGATAAAGTATACGAGACTCGTTGTACCAATGTATTTTCATTTAAATAAAGCTCGTATAAACACAGTATTTTTAAATTCTTTAAAGTAAAAGTATTTTAAGAAATTTTTACTCTATAGAAAAACACAAACAAACCGTCAAACGAGGTCTCTTCCGTAACCCATGATTGCTGTACGGCATTCGAAATGTCAAACTAAAAATCAAAATAAATCCGCGAAAAAATTCGAAAAGATAGTTTTATTTAGAAGGTACAAAACAAATGAAGAGTAAATCGAAATTATTTGGTTTTTAGTAAAACAGCCTTCATAGGCTATTCTTTGTAATTTATTTTCAATAACACTTATTATAAACGTAAACGTTTATGATAAAATTTGCCAAAAGGTGGCATAGACACACGAAACAAGTGCTAAGTTCATAAAACGTATTGATCACGCACTACGAATAATATAATATATCAATAACATAATTTTGTATAGAGATAATTTATAGATCTTAATATGAAATTCAATTTATTTCGGTAAATCAACAGATTTCTGTCGCATTTACATCCCGCCATTGCAAAAAGTACTTTGGAAAATTCCTAAGCAAATTTATAATAAGGCAGCACTAGTTCATACAATAAAAATAATATGTGTGTATGCCTACTTATGTACGCACGCAAGAAGTTATACTTCTTTGGCGTAACAGAATAAAAAAGATTTGATCCCGAATGTCACAACTCTCTGTTTGTAAAAGGAATGATAAATTAATAAAAATAATTAAATAAGGCATATTAGGCATATTACAATCATATATTTATAGAATATAATTTAAGGAAAGAATATAATATTATATTATATATGATTTGTCAAACAATAACAATGGTTACCACGGCAACGAACAGTTAACAGCTAACTTCATCAAGTCGCTTTTTGGCTGTCGGTGTGCGCGCGCGCATCGTAAAAATTATACACTCATATTTTTCTCCAAACGTCCCAAAAGAAGCATAACTACAAAAATTGATGAAAGTACTAGGTTTTACTATAAGACCTGTAGTCATAAAGACCATAAATAAAGCTATTTAAAAATATACTTAATTTTATTAGTGTGAACTCAAAGTCAATTTTAAGGAGTGATTATAAATATATATTTAACGACTTATTGAGATGTTCGAAAATAATTTGTTCGTATACTACGATAGCGTGAGATGACGCTGAGATAAGATTGTGATAGCTCATCGCGATTACCATCAGTTCATATTTCTTAAATGACTCAAGTACATTTATTGTTAGGGTTCCTTAAAGCTGCGGTGAAATTTGTTTTCTTTAAAATATAACGACCCTACTTGCTGTGCCAGCGGTCGCAGGTTTGAGTCCCGCTGGGGGCATTCATTAGATAAGCACGAACGTTTGTACTCTAGCCATGGGTGTTTATATTTATAATATGTATGTATATAAAGTTATATATGTGTGGTATATCAACTATCTGGTATCCATAACACAAGCCTCGTAGCTTACTATGGAACTAGATTGTGCTGTGTGTTAATGTCTCAACATATTTATTTATTTAAAATATGTTCTCTAAATGTGATTTTTTTTTGTATGTTTGTCAATTAATAAATTGATGAGCTTCTTTAAACAGTGTAGTACGCGATCGGAGCTGCAGACGAAAACTCGTAATTTTTTTTTTTTATGGGACTAAGGGGGCAAACGGGCAGGAAGCTCACCTTTATTAGGCAAACTAAAAAAACAAACGTAAACTTGCAATTATAACACGAGTATACTTTTTTAAAGCAATATATACCTAGTACAGTACTTACAGTACAAATCATAAATATAAAATAAATAACAAAATTCATACAAATGCTAATCTGCATTAGGGATTTCAACCACAGTTCAATATAAAGTCCTTTTACGTTTAGTTATATGTTTTATGGTGATTCGGAACAAGCCATGCTAGTTCCATTCATACTTGACCAATTTTACTTTTTTTTATTATTTTGTTAAATCTTACAGTTTTAAAAGATGGGTCTAACACGAGCGGAAATACTTTTCACGTACCAACAACTCTAAAAATTTCTTAACCAATAATTCTTTTTGCCCGAACCGGGAATCGATCTCAGAGTCTATAGAACTAAAATCCTGCTAGCTAGCACGGAATCAATAATGATAATATATCAAGTTGTTCATTAAATCGGACAAGTAGTAGTAAATTACTAGTGAAATATGCAATTATTCTCATTAGTTCAGATAAGATTACGTACGAAGCCTTGAAGAAGGCTACAATAACTTATCTTACACAACATTTTCGCAATTATTCTTTTGTTATGAAATTATGTTCGACAGTCTTGACATCTGGGCGAAGATATCAAGAGTGTTGCAACAGAAAGGTACGATGATAGCCACTTATAAATAATTTACTAAATACTTCATCCGTTGCAAGCCATAAAGAAGAATTTTAAGTTATAAATCAAGGGTAATGATATTATACACAGCTTTTTTTAATTTATAATCATAAGTTGTAGTATTGAAAGGATTTATGGATGTAAGTTTTAAAATTGTTTTATTAACATTGTTATAAACATTGCATATAGAACCTGTATTGATGATGATTATTGCCAGGACCTGTTATGTTCTAAATTACTAAAGCATGACATTTGATTTAAATTAAATAACTAACCGCTTAAATGTCTAAAATTACAAACTCTTAGGTAAAGTAACAATATAAATAAATATTTTGAGAAATTTCCATTCAATTTGTGGTTATTGAAAACACAAAGCCATAGATTCTCATTTAGATCGAAAGCCTAATCTCAATTATTAGAAAATCGATTAATCCACATAATCTAATTACGAAGTTTAATTTCGTCCAAGTTTCGCTTAGACGAAGTAAAAAGGTAGGAATTAAGGATTTTATGTGTTAAATGTTTAAGGTTTTTTACATGAATATACTACTAGTTGGGTACAGAGATGACCGTATTTTACCTTATATATATATATAAATCAATTGCCGTTCGTTAGTCTACTTAATTCAAATACGGCTGAACCGAATTAAATAATGATTTTTTGTTTTGTTGGGGTGTATTAGGGATAGTTTAAGTATAATAAAATAAGGCAAAGCCAAAAAAAGCTGGAAAATCGAAAAGTTCAGAACAGTTTATTTTGCACCTATGTAATATATAATATCTATTCCATACTAACCGTCAAAACGTACCTAGGGATGAACCCGAGCGGAGCAAGGGAAAGTTACAAGTCCTTTATAAAATTTATAAAGTCTGTCCGTATATCCCAGTCATTTTACTCGAATGCTTTTTTAAAATATTTTACTAAAATTTAATGGAATTTTAAATTTAATATTATGGAAGCGGGCATTTTGCATAGTGACAAAAAATTAATTTGAAATTACGCAACTTGATAAGAATTATTAATTCTAGAATCCAACTAAATGAAAAATTTTGTACAAATTTTTAAAATAAGACAATTTTTTAAATATAAATAATTTAAATAAGTTGAAAGGCAGGTTTACTAGAATAAACATGATTGAGCATAGTGGTTGATCTATTGTTAACAATTATAGTAGATTCAAATTATTATATTTGGCTATAATTTTTAAATAAAACAAAATTATTAATAAAATAAAAGAATTTATTTAACAATATAAATTAGTGGAACGCGTAAAACGGTGCGGAGTTGTAGATGGAAGAGCTCTGATGAGTGATGGAAGAGTCTGGGGATTTGTAGTATTCTACGTTGGAGCTTAATGAGTAGACTGGTGCGTGGGACACGATAGTATGGGTGACAGGAGCGTGGGCTACTACAGTGTGGGATACTGGCGCGATCACAGCGTGGGATACTGGTGCGTGGTACTCCACTTCGTGAGCGAGTACTGGCGCGTGCAACACATGAGTACTTCCGTGGTCGACGACGTGACTGCTCGAAGTGAGGGTCGACTTAGAGAACGGCATATACGCATTGTACTCCAGGTTGAGTGGAGCTGCGATAACGGCTGCCAAAAGGGTGGTGAAGAAAATCTGGAAATAATTATAATCAAATTAATGCATACACTCTTATACACCTAATAGGAACCAATAAGGAATTTAAAAAAAATGATTCTTGTGTTGAAATTAATCAGACCATCTATTTAAGATATCTTGTTTAAAAAATTTGCACGCTAAATCAAGAAATGCTTACAATTTCTTTCATGTTTCTTTGGCGTTTAATGTCCAACTGATGGGTTGTGGATCTGGCATCAGGTTTTTATATTCTATTTCAATTACTCGCTGCCCCAGTTCGCAATCTGTGTACTTGATCATTTTGTCGCTACAAGAATCACCTTCATTAATTTTTACGTCACTTGTATTTCTATTCATGTGATGTAATTTATATATTTTATAAATAGTATTTATCTGCAAGGCAGTAGTGTAGGTAGTGGTAGCCTAGTGGTGACGCGCTCGCTTGAATAACCCAGTGAAGCGGGTTCAAATCTCGGGTCTCGCACCTCTCATATTGATACATGTGCGAATCATTTTGAACATGATTACCACTTGCCTTACGGTGAAGGAAAACATCGTGAGGAAACCTGCATGTCTGAGAGAACCTAGCAAGTTTTCGAAAGACATGTGAAGTCTGCCAACCCGCACTTGGCCAGCGTGGTGGACTATGGCCTGATCCCCCTCATATTTAAGGGAGAATAGGAAGGGCTGAATACATACATACATACATTTATCTGCAACTTCACTCACTTGGTCTTATGATGAAAATAGCCTATGTTATTTGAATGGAATTTTTTTATCCAATTATGAAACTGTCTGTAAAACCGGCTATACTTCTCATCTTCGATCTTGCATAATAGGGAAACTGACGCGAAACTATACGTAATCCGTACCATAATCATAATATATTTCCCCATAAATATTTTATACTTTTCAAGTCAGGTAATGAAAAAGGAATAAAAGCCATGTTGATTTTATATTATTAAAAATAACAGTTTAGTAAAATGGACTGTTGAAACAAAAAAAAACGATATTCATTACACTATGTAAAGTTATTTAAAACTTTAGAGGATAATTTATTTCCGCACAAATGATTCGCTTTTAATGATCGTAGCGTGCTTAGATAGTCTATAATAATAACCTTCTTCATTTTATAATGTTATGGCTATGAAAATAATTTTCAATTCCAATTAATAGTTACAAAGATAAGCGCGTTTCAACAAATAAAATAAACTCTTCTACTTAATTGTTAATATTATTATAGATAATACCCTAACCTTTTTAGGATACATTTTTCCACCTTTTAAGGGACAAGCTGCTGAATCCAATACATTGTTTGTGGATGGTAAAGTTTTTTAGAATTTAGCTTACTAACTAAACTTTACCTTCTCAATTGTTAAAATGACATATTTTTTTTAATAGAGTTACTCATAAAATCTTAAAAGTTTAAGTATATCTTGTATTTGAAATCACAAGGATATATAAGAAAATTATGCTAATTTTTAAATTAAATAGAGTTGGATCAGAAATCTGGTGCTCGAATATTGTATTTTTTGAAGTTTTTGTTTTAACTCTCCTGTCAATGATTTAACACAGTTATGTGATTGAACTAGAATAATTAAGTTCATTTTAGAAGTAAATTTATATGTTTATACGAGTACATTTAGAAATATTTTTAATAATTAATAATATCAAAAATTAAAAAAAATATCTGCTTAGAAAGCGCACTAAAAATAAGGGAACAAACTGACGATGGAACATAGCATTATGCAGTCAGAGATATATGTAGATACACGTAGCAAAATTCGAAGCAAGTATAAAGCATTCGATAGGTTTGAAAGAAAAAATCTCTACACATGCAAATTGAACTCTGGATTCCGTCAGCATGATTTTTAATAATAAGCGATGTATGGACCATGAAAATCAGTAAAGCCGTTTAGTAATTACGAACAAACATACAATTAGACATAAATATATTATATAGGTCAAGCACATGCTCCTTGGGCCTTCGCCGCAAAGGGAAGACATTAGTTGACATTAAATATTATAGCGGCATTTTCCAAGAAAGCTTATTTCTCTTTAAGATTTTTATCTAATTTGATAAACAAAATGCTCCATATTTTTGCTATGGTATAAAACTTATCAATTATATTGAAAAGATATACATACATATTTAAGCGTAGTGTCACAAATCATAGTACATTCCCATACTTTTTAGATTTCTATTCCTGTAGTAGCTGATCCTCTAGACGTTGTCCTAGCTGAACTTCAATTTTTTACCCAATTGTGGCGAAGCCCAAGGAAGGGCTATGGGTTTCACCTGTATGTATGTATATGTTCCCTTGTCATTACTTTACGGCTCAACCGATTTTGACCCCTCGTACGTCGTTGAATTCGTCTTGATAACGCGATGTGTCTTAGAGTATATACACGTAGATATCATTAAAAATCAAAATGGCGGATCCTAGGCACCAATTTCTGTCTTGAAAATTTTTTTTCATCCGAATCAATCGAGTGGGGTATCAAAGTACAGGCTATATAATAATAAATATGTTTTAAAGTGATTTAGGATAAGAAATTGTTAAATAAAATTCTAAACGTCCAACTGGCTAGTTCTAAAAAGCTGTGAATAAAAAAAAAATTACAAAATAAACAAATCTGACTATTTATAAAGCGAACTAAAAAGATGAGAATTGAGAAAAAGTTGATGAAGGGATATAGTACTATGCAGTCGGAGACATACATGTGGTATACTAGCTGCGAGTCTTGGTACGTGTATTGTACTCGTATGACTCCAACTTCATAATACTTACTACCTTTCTTCGTCAACTTGTTCTCTTCTCTTTAGTTTGCTTATTACGCGGACTATTTATTTTTGTAATTGAGTTCATACAAAATCCTATCCTATCCTAGAAATAAACACCTCCAGTTTTACCCGGATTACCCAATTTTCTGGGCAATCTTTTCCATTTATTTCTCTAAAATCGTTGTTCGGGCTAATACGAACTGTTATTTATAATATAGCCAAATCAGCTTGCCAAATAATTGCTATATACATATTATATTATCTTAGCCCACAATTTATTGAAAGTATTTCATATTTATTATATCTATTTAGTTAAATGTGAATATTTTAAGTTAATTAGGTGTACCTAATTAATAGTTTTAGTAAATTACTGACAAGCTGTGTTTCTCTATTTATTTATTTTTTATACATTAAACAAACTAGAAATTGTTACTTTTTTATATATTTAAGAAAATAATAACAAATTTGAATTTCTATTATTATTACATTATAATTAAAAATACAAGCATATTAAAAAACTTCATAGAAAAATAATAATTTATTTAACAATAAAAATTAGTGGAAAGCGTACAAAGGTTCTGAGTTGTAGGTGGAAGAACTTTGATGAGTGATCGCGGAGTCTGGAGATTTGTAGTACTGTACGTTGGAGCTCAGTGAGTAGACTGGAGCGTGGGATACTATAGCGTGAGAGACAGGAGCGTGGGCCACCACAGCGTGGGACACTGGCGCGATCACAGCATGGGATACTGGTGCGTGGTAAACAGTGGTCGATCCATGGTTTACAACCTGGCTACTCTTGGTCAGGGTGGACTTAGATAAGGGCACGTGGTACTCCACTTGGTGAGCGAGTACTGGTGCGTGCAACACATGAGTACTTCCGTGGTCGACGACGTGACTGCTTGAAGTGAGGGTCGACTTTGACAATGGCACATACGCGTTGTACTCCAGGTTGTATGGAGCTGCGATGGCGGTTGCCAAAAGAGCGGTGAAGACGATCTGAAAATTGATTTATTTTTATTTAAAAAAAACAAACAATGGTATTATTTTCTTAAAAAATAAAAATTTGTTGTATAGAAAATATATAATATTTTGCATGTCATAATATATTTGCTTTATTTAGAAATTATTTTAATATTTATAAATAATTTATTTAAACATTATTAAATTTCATTAAAATTTTGCTACAACACTTACAATTCCTTGCATTTTGTGTGTACGCTTGGTATGTAACTGATAGGTTGTGGGTCCGGCTTGATCATTTTATATACGCTTTAAATCTGTTGGCAAAGTTGCCCTCCGGTGTACTTGACAATTTTTTTAATCAAAAATTACCTTCGTTAATTCTTCATTTGCCAATCTACGCTTATGGCAAAACGTATTACGTATTTTGGCCACCAAATAGAAAATCGACCTTGTAATTCAAGTATACTGTTTTTTTTTAAATAAATCTCCAAGAAAATATTTAATTTACTTTTCATTATCTTTTTACCCGACTGCGGCGAAGCCCAAAGTAGGGTTATACGTTTGGCCTGTATGTATATATGTATGTATGTCCGACCCTAAGTTCCCTAGTATTTACTAAACGACTTAACCGATTTTGATGACTCATACGTCGTAGATTCGTCTTGATAACACGAGTGTCATAGGGGATATAGAAATGATATAATAATAAATGAAAATGGCGCATCTTAGGCGCTAATTTTACATACATACATACATACATGTTTTATACTAGCTGCAAGTGCGGTTACGTGTATTGTATGTCTCCGACTGCATAATACTATGTTCCTTCGTCAACTTGTTCTCATATTTTTAGTTTGTTTTTTAGTAATCGGGTCTGTATAGTCAACTACTCACCTATAATTAGCTCGACTGAAAAGTATTTATGTACTAAATATCATCCAAACCAATTAGCTAGTTCGGCTAAAAGAGTAATAAACATACACACAAACATATGAATTGTCCATATATATTAGTAGTTCCATAATCGTAGGTGCATCTGTTAATTTATGCACAAGTGTACATATACTTGTGTACTGGTGGAATTTTCTATAGATCTTTTTAAGTCTTATGTACGGTTTTAGTATTTTTTTTAGCCTGGTTAAGCCGCGTAAATTTACGAACATTCAGTTTTGTTAGCAAAAAAACCTTCCTTTGAACGAAGTAAGCAGAGAAACAGACTTAGCCAGATATCGACTTTAGTCATATTTACTTTCAGATAAGATACGCATAGATCGATTTACGCTAGAACTATATTTTGAATTTTCTAATGAAAATGAAAGATTCTACAACATTTTTAGTTTACAACCTCTTTTAATACTAATAGTACTTTAAATAATATTAGTTTTTTTAGTTTTGTGTAATAAATCATTGAATTGAATTTCCGTGAGAATAAGAAATTTTCGTGTAGTATAAAGAATTTTAAATGTTGACTCGAGTAATAAGTTATAATCCTTTGTCGACATTCTGTTACTTTATTTTGTATAACATATTTTTTATGGTACAATAAATAAATATTTTTTATGGTATTGGTACAAATGGTACAAATTGTAATAAACTGATATATAGACAAGAAGACAAAAATTTCAACAACTATTGTTTTGGGGTCTCTATTCTAAACGATACGTAACAGACATAATGGTTAAAAAAATTTCATATACTTTCGTTTTCATATATGCATTTTAGGCATAGAACATGATTCATAACCAGTGAGAATTAAATACAAATATTTAAAAATATTTACATAAGCCCAATCTCACAGCTTATGCTGATAGTATCAAGATTTAATTAATTATACTCGTAAGGATTCAAATAAAATTAAAGAATACAGTATTAACAATGAAGCTGGGCTGTAGTATTAAATTAGATTACATTTTTATTGTTGATAAAAGCAGTTATAGAATTTTACTATATTACTATACTAGAAAAACAAAAACAAATCTATCCCTCGGGAACCGTTCATTTTTCCGGGATAAAAAGTAGCCTATGTATTATTCCAGGCTAGAATGTGTGCCAAATTTTATCCAGATCCGTTGTGGCGTGATTGAGTAACTAACATACACTTAAACTTATACATTATATAAGATTGCCTAAAATTTTAATCTGAAATTTATTATTCACTAGCGACTCACCCTCGCTCTGCTCGGGTTCGCTATTTACTTTTTAACGTTTAGTATAGATTTCTCAGAGATTAGATATTTTCCCGTAGGAAAAAGTACCTATATGTTGACCCGAATAACCAGCTATCATTATACCAAATTTAATCAAAATCTGTCCAGTGGTTGGTAATACGTTCCCAGACAGACGGACTAAAATTCTAAAAACTATAGTTTCAGCCTCGGTATCGATTCGATGAGATATGACTATTTCAATAAAATTTTCCTAAAAATATTTAATGTTCATACATACAGATTCAGACTCAGAATTTTACTGTAAGTATGTATAGATTTCTAAGTAATTATCTCGTAAATATTTTTTTTTTTTGTTATACGTTACCATAATAAAAAATCAAAGCATATATAATCAATTTACATAATAAAAAACTAGTATAATTGTTTACTAAGTACTTACTTTATGTAGTACATTATATAACTTATTTATTAGTGCCTTGAAGTTGGTAAACAGAATAAAAAAATATACTTCAATTAATATATAATTTCAAGTAAAAGTTCAATAAAAATATATATAATATAATATATATTTTAAATATTCCGTTGTTATTTAATAAGCGAGCTATTACTGTATATAATATTCTTAATACATTAATTATATTATTTAAGAAATAGTGATAATCATGAAATCTTTACGTTTCATCCCATAATTGTTCTAGTTAGGCGAATAAAATATTGAGCTTTATGTTATAACATAGCTACTTACAACAACTTATACCTAATAAATTATAGAATATTATTGAAAAAACTTTTTTAAATTTAATTGTACTTTATTTTAAAGAACAAAATATATTTTTAAACAATATAAATTAGTGGAAAGCGTACAAAGGTTCTGAGTTGTAGGTGGAAGAACTTTGATGAGTGATCGCGGAGTCTGGAGATTTGTAGTACTGTACGTTGGAGCTCAGTGAGTAGACTGGAGCGTGGGATAGTATAGCGTGAGAGACAGGAGCGTGGGCTACCACAGCGTGGGACACTGGCGCGATCACAGCGTGGGATACTGGTGCGTGGTAAACAGTGGTCGATCCATGGTTTACCACCTGGCTACTCTTGGTCAGAGTGGACTTAGATGAGGGCACGTGGTACTCCACTTCGTGAGCGAGTACTGGCGCGTGCAACACATGAGTACTTCCGTGGTCGACGGCGTGACTGCTTGAAGTGAGGGTCGACTTTGACAATGGCACATACGCGTTGTACTCCAGGTTGTATGGAGCTGCGATGGCGGTTGCCAAAAGAGCGGTGAAGACAATCTGAAAAATATGTACATATATTTTACTTAACAAATATAATTTTAACGGACATCTATCCTAGGACATTTTAACGAACAATGATGTATGGGTGGTGGATTCTTTCGTCACAATATTTTACTTATGAAGAATTTGTCAATTCTGCATAAGTTGAAAATTCAATAAATATCTTAAAATATTGTGTCATATATATCAATTTTTGATAATTTTTAATAATTTGCAAAATATAACTTACGATTGCTTGCATTTTGTGTGTGGTGTCTAGTATCCAACTGATGTATAATGGGTCCGGATAATCTATTTTATATGTTTTCAATTATCCACCGCCAGTTCTCGACCGGTGTACTTGATAATTTGTAACGACATTACCTTCGTATTTTTTGGCACCATTTGCCAATCTATGCTTATGGCGAAATTCAAAATGTACTCTCGATGTCCAATTACTGTACTTACATACTTATCTAACAGATTAGATCACTGATCTAACAGATCATTAATATAAAGATCTATTAAGTATATTAAAGCAGTATAATTAATATGTAAACAGTATAAACCATATTGGCGAGGATTTTTTATATGATCTTCCAGAGTGCTAGGAAAGTGTGTTTATTTTACTGCTCTAAAATTACAAATCGACTCAATCGAATCGAAAACTGAAATCTATATTCAAAATTATTATTTAAAAATAACAGACCTATACTATAATAATAAAGTATAAGAACTGAAATTGAGAAAAAAAAATATCGTAATATATGATTTTCTGGTATATTTCTATACCTATATTCGAAAATAAGTTAGATATTATAAAAGCAATACTTAAAAACTTTAAATATTAATTTAAAAATCTTAAGTAAAGTAACATTCGTAGAAAAAACTGTTGTTTTTAAATGAAAATAGGTTAAGTCAGAAAGTTCAATTTATCTTACAATAACTTTGAAATTGCTTTCGCTCCTTTGTTCATAGAATTTTTCTTTCGCATTTCCAATAAAGTATAAATAATAACAAGTTTTCTAATTTTACCCACATCAAATTTTTCAGAAACATTCATCTACTTTACAGCGAATACTCTCTACCAATCTTTTAAGGTACGATAGAAGTTCCCCTCAAAAGTAATTTTTTGCAGAGTAACAAAAATTTCATATTATTTATATCCTCTTTCCTAAAGTAAATTATATTTTCTCTTTTATAATTTAGGTTTAGTACTCAGTATATTAGTGAAAATCAATAAAAATAAATTTATTGTATGGGTGGTAGATATCGTAGAAATAATAAAAATAAACTTAATATAAAGCAGATAGTAAGTTTAAAATTATCCAGTTAATAAGCACTTGTTACTTGTACAGTGTAACCGCTTCATGGTTCTGTATGAAATATTTTAACTACCAAAGTTCTACTTCCTAAGGTTCTTAGAGCTTTAACTAATAAAAAATATTTCTTTTGTAAAAATTACAAATATTTTTATAGTTCATTGAATTAAAGTTATATATTATATTATAAGCTTATTGAAATAAGCTCAAGTAATAAAGTTATATCATTTAATTATAATTCAAGTAATAAAGTTATATATCATTTCTAACATGATGACCACTTGCCTTACGGTGAAGGAAAACATCGTGAGGAAACCTGCTTGTCTGAGAGAACCCAGCAAGTTTTCGAAAGACATGTGAAGTCCGCCAACCCGCACTTGGCCAGCGTGGTGGACTATGGCCTGATCCCCCTCGTATTGAAGGGAGGCCCGTGCCCAGCAGTGGGACGTTAAAAAGGGCTGAATACAATAAAGTTATAAAAACTTATATTAATAAAACTTTGAAGTATATTGAAGTTACCTATCTATGAAAGTTTTATATTACTATCAACTCCTTTCCCCATACAAACCTTCGGGTCACCTTCGGGTGCTTCCCCATGCAAACTTTCATCCCCATATTCACCCCTTAAGAAGATTTCCAGAATAAAAACTATCCTATGTCCTTCTCAGGATTTCAAAATATCTTCTTACCAAATTTCATCTAAATCAGTTTAGTAATTTCAATTTTGGTACAAAAAAAAACAAACAAACATAAAATCTTTCCTCGTTATAATATTAGTAAAGATGGATGATACCCAGTGAGGGCAAGGAAAATGAAAATAGAAATAATATAATACTTTAAAATGATTATAATAGAAATCTATTACAATTATAATACATTTAACCATTAAGAATAATTCATTCATAATAATGGTCTGTAAGGTCGAATATTAGACATTTGAACTTAAAATTTCAAGCTCTTTATATTTAAATTTTTAGATGCCTCTTTCTTTCTGAAAAGAGAATTTTTAAAATATTTTACTTGTATGAAACTTTCTTATTTCCTTCATATTTCACTTATTATAAATTATTTAATGTGCATTTAATCAGTTACATTTAAAAATCTATCTATACATATAATAAAATTCTGAGTTGAATCTGTATATTAAATATTTTTTTGAAAATCTTATTGAAATAGTCATTATTATCGATACTGAACCTATAGTTTTTAGAATTATAGTCTGTCTTTCAGTATGTATGTATGTCTGGAAACGCATCACGATAAAACCACTGGATAGGTTTTCATGAAATTTACTATGATGATAGCTGGTTATCCGGGTCAACATATAGGATATTTTTTACTTCGGGAAAATATCTTATCTCTGAGATCCATACTAAGCGTTAAAACGTAAGGAGGGACGATCCCGAGCAGAACGAGGGTGAGCCGGTAGTAAAAAATAATAGAATAATAATGTCAATTTAAAAGATATTGATCAAAGCGCATGAGTTTAGTGCTTTCTCTCCTTTTAATAAGATTTTATTCTATGTTCAATAATCTCTTCGAGTACCTAAATTGAGTATCAATTTCTTTATTCAAACCTATGATACTTATAAATTTGGTGAACTTAATACGTAATTAGTAAAGATACCTTGTATTCTAAAAGAACATGTATCCAAAAACTGAAAACTTTTAAAATAATACAATTTAACAATCATTAACTTATTATGAATGGAAAGAAAAAATGAGAGTAAGTATGGGATACTATAGCAATCAACAATTTTCCGTTTTCTGTTGAATGCTTTATCTAGCATTTTTATAGAAATTATAAATAAAATGAACCATATAATTTAACAAAATAATTTATTTAATAACAAAACTTAGTGAAACGCATATACAGGTACTGAGTTGTAGGTAGAAGAACTTTGATGAGAGATCGCTGAGTCTGGTGCTTTATAGAGTACTGGAGAGCTGACAGAGTAGACTGGAGCGTGAGCTACCAAGGCGTGGGATACTGGAGCTACCACAGCGTGAGATACTGGAGCGTGGGCTATCACAGCGTGGGATACTGGTGTGTGGACAACAGTGGTCGATCCATGGTTCACAACATGGCTACTCTTGGTCAAGGTGGACTTAGCTAAAGGCACATGGTACTCCACTTCGTGAGCAAGTACTGGTGCATGCAACACATGAGTACTTCCATGATCGACAACCTGACTGCTTGAAGTTAAGGTGGATTTTGACAACGGCACATACATGTTGTACTCCAAGTTTAGTGGAGCTGCGATGGCGGTAGCCAAAACGGCGGTGAAAACAATCTGAAAAAATTGAATGGATTTATTATGTTTATTATTTTAATGAACGCTTTTCTCATATATATAATATGTTGAAAATAAACAAATTAATATTTAATCATAAATATTATTGATAATTATTATAATAAAATTAATATTCAAGTTATTTATTCGTTAAATTTTTTTTTCATAAGTCAGTTTTTTACTAATTTCGATTTTTTTTTTAGTTAAAAATATGCAAAAACTACTTACGATGTTTTGCATTTTGTTTGACGTCTGGTATCCAACTGATGGGTTGCGAGTACGGTTTGACCTTTTTATATACGCTTTAAATCATCCACCGCCCCAAATATTAACCGGTGTACTTGACAATTTCTTTGGATAAAAAATCACCTTCGTTAATTTTGTTACGTCACCTGCGAATCTGTGAAAAAGTAATAAACCTTTATATAAGAGAGAATAGATTCGTCAGGGATGAATTAGTATGATAATATAATAATTTGACACATATATTTTCAGCAATTTGATTTTCTCTCTCTCTCTAATATATATACTTTATTAAGTTAACGTTTTAGTCAAGGAAAGACTAGTCGATAGAAGAGACTATTTTTGGTTAAGCACATTTATGAATATATTTTTGTAGCGATAGTATTAAATTAATTAATTGAAAGATAAAGACAGCATAAAAAGAAAGATAAACCAATAAATAATTTAAACTTTTTTTATAAATATTAGTAGGGTACAGTGTACCTACAGTGGGTTAATTGTCTTCTGAATATTTAATCGTATTCATGATTTATTTTTCTTATGTTAATGTGTGTTTTGTCAAGTGTACTTGCTATCTATTAGAAAATTCTAACCCATGATTAATGGAAATTGTATAGTTAGCATTGCTTTATGATTGATAAATTCACATTATACATAAAGGGTAAAGTTCTCCACCTAAAACACTTCCCTGCTACACTCCTTAAGAAAAGGCTAAAATTCATGGTCAACGACAATTAACATATCGTAGCTTTTACCAAATAACTGAATATCTCATCGCAACTTCGAGTTTTATTATTTGGTACTAAATAGCTCCAATATAATTTTATGGTGAGCGAAATGTATAGTCATGAGCAATCAAACTTACATTTACTAACATTAATAGCAGTAAAACATATTTTACCCCAAATTTAAGGGATACTAGTTAAAAAATAAAGTTTATTCCAAATGTTTTTTTTAACAATTTTTTGGAACCTTGAACGTGATATTATCACGTCGATCTGACAGCTCTGCATGCTAATTATCACTTAATTTTATAAATATATGACCTGCTTTTAATGTTTTTTTTTTAATTTTTTTAACAAGTTATTAATATTAATTACATCACGAGGTAAAGATATGAGGAAAAACTGTCAATTTTGCAAATTTGCGTTAATTTAAAAAATAACGCAATGGAATTTATTAATTGAGCTTACATACATACATACATACATATGTGTACATAAAGAAGGACATACTAAAGAAAGTATTTTCATATTTATTTAGTATAGTCCAGTCTTTTGAAATAAAACTATTTTTTCGGATTTTGCGAATTTATTTTTTTAAATTTTGGTTCCCGTGAGTGGTTACTGGTGAGTCTCTCCCGTGACCATGATTGCTGTATAGCATTCGTAACATCGGGAACCAAAAAACACAATAATTCCGAGAAAAAAACTGAAAAATAGTTTTATTTAAAATTGGAACCACCTGCCTGCGTCGGTGTTTCCGTCCGATTATAATATGGGTGTCTTCAAGGCAAGAGTGAATAGGTGGCTACTGAATTAGTGCGACTTACCATCTACGACTGCGTTACCACTTACCATCAGGTCGAACGTAGTCAAGCACTAATTCTGAACAGTATAAAAAAAAATGTCAAATATTCGTTTAAATCTAAGAAAGTATTAGTTTAGTCTGTCTTTTCTAGTTTTAGTATGAACTAGATGGGCCTATCAGAAAATCTTTTAAAATGTCAAAGCCAAGATCGGTATTTTAAAACATTTTTTAATTAAGTACAACACTTTTCTCTTTGGTCAAACGTGTAAGTTAAAATTTTGACGATAAATCTCAAGTTTCTAATTATACTTAATATCTAGTAATAGTAACTTTTTTCGCTCCATCGTTTGTAAGTGTTGCTTTATATTAATTATTGTGGTATCATTAAAATTTGGCATATTGACTCTCGGGATATGAATTTTCTGCTGATATCATTATAGGATTGATGCAAATAATATAACATCGTTTTATATTTTAATTTAAAAAACTTTTAAAGAAATACAAGAGTTATTACAAAAAAGGTTTCATTCAATTTACGTTTTTTTATAATAAAAGTCATATTTTAAAATATAACGTAAACTTAATATAAGGATGAATCGCGAAGCGATCGCATAAAATTTAATATAATATGACGCCAACTGCAATAAAAATTTTTGATATTTTTGAGTTAATATCAAGCACTGAACATATGTACGAAGCTATATTCGATGTATTGTTATTTTACGGTTTTATATGAAGGTTCTCATTTCACCATTAATCTGTACAATGGTATAATGAAGGAAGGTATGAATAGGATAGTTGTATATAAGACTAACAACTCACCCTCGCTTCGCTCGGGTTCGTCCCTCGGTTGCTTTCCCATACAAACTTATATCCCCATTTTCACCTCCTTAAGGGATGATTTCCGGGGTAAAAAGTATTGCTCCAACCAGGTAAAACCAGGTTATCAAACTATCTTATTACCAAATTTCATCTAAATCGGTTTAGTAGTTTTGAAGCTTATTCGGTACAAACAAACAAACAATCTTAATATTAGTATAGATGTTTTATTTTAGTAAATATTTCGAATATTTGCTCAAATGCGCTGAAGAAAATTAGATTTTCGATCTACATACTATGTTTATAGCACACACATTTCTTAAGATTGAATATTGGACAACTACTCCCACTTAAAGCTTACAATAAAAACTGCATAGCAATTTGGCATATCGAAACGGTCATTAACAATTATTTCGTTACATGCTATCCTGTGTTTACTTTGCAAAATTATATGATCAATTATGCAAAGTTGGTTATTAATGATAATATAAGACAGCCAAGGTCCAAGTTTTATTTTTAACTAGTTTTCGTCTGAGGTTCTACCTGCTTTGTAGGTCGATAAAAAGTAGTTTAAATAGTAAACCTATGTATTAATATAAGATGGATCAAGTTATCTTTATTTCGAATTTATTTTAAATCCAAACTGTTACAGCGTGAAATGTAGAAAAAACACAAACTTTTACACTGTGTGATTTGTGATTATATACAATCGATTTATTCATTTCGAATTATCACTTTATGTGTTTCTATATATGTATTATTTTATTTTTCCTCATATTGTTATTTACTAACTCTGTGGTCCAGAAAATGTCTGAAATTGCCAGGAGTTGGGAAGTTCCCAACTCTTTGAGGACTCATTAGCGTGCGACAGTTCAGATGGGCGCAAAGCCAAGAAACGCATAGGGAGGTGGCTCACTTCGGTGTGCGGTGTACCATGTGGGTTGCTCCTGGTACTGGTACTTCTCTGACGCCAGAGTGAACCGTTGGAGCAACACCACGGTTATCGTGGTCTGCGTGCGTAAGCAATCCTGCGACGCCCCATTTAGACGGGGGAGTTTATGTTGTGTTTTTGTGGTTAGTACTAGTTTTTCTAGCCGGTGAGTCTCACATTAGACCAGAGTCGATAATTTTTGAAACCAAAAAAAATAATAGTGGGATGAAACCCAAGGAAGAGAATATAACAAAAATGAAAGGAAAAATAATTTACGGACGATCTGAGGTCGGGGAGTGGAAGGTGAGTTTTTAAGGGTAAAAAACGGTTTCTTTCGATTTGCAGCAAAACTACAAGTCCTATGAAAAAAGTTAAATAGCAAAGTTGTAGGTAATAAAAAGATTATTTTTCACATAACCTCAAAATTTATGTGATAAATTCAAATAACCAAATTTGGTTTTTATCTTTATCTAACATAAAAAAACACGAAATTTGGTGAAAAATTACCCTTCATGTCCCAAGCACACTATAATTCTTTTGATTCAATTTTTTTATTTTTTTACCTTATTTTGACTCAATATCAAAAAAGCACCCTAATTTTCAATTGAAAATTTGCGCATCAAAATATCTGCTTTTTTAAATGAGTCGGTGGGGCTTTTTGTTCGTTGAAAATTTTTGATGGTGTAAAAATAAATATACATTACTATGGTAAATTTTCTCAGAAAATGCAAAATGTTTAGGCCAGACCCTCCTAGCCCCTTCCCTGCTTCTCTATGAAATACTTTTTGATGGGCTAAAATTTCCCGTAGGCCACTCAGGTATATAAGTTATCTTAAAATAGCAATAAAATAGTCATCTACGTATATAATTTAAAGAAGATTCTACAACTTTCTCAAAATATTGTAAATATCTTATTAAATATTAACTTTATTAATAGCACTTGTACTTTCGCTTAAAAATACTTTTTTTGTATGTTATGACTATGACCATGAATAAAGTTCGTAGATTTTTCGAGATTATCCACTCAGGTAATATTTTTCACAGCATAATTTTGTCGTTCTACATGTTTAATGTACTGGCAAGGCTTCAATTCGTCAATCTGTCGCGCCCTTCATGTTTTTACTAAATTATGCATTTAATAAGGCTACTGTATAAACGGTTTTATTGCAAATTAACAAAATGTATGCTAAAAGGGCTGGTAATTTGGCAAAAATTATGGCTATCTGTTAATTTATTACTGCACTTGATCGAAAGACGTGATAGCGGCGCGGTGACGTTGCGAGTTGCACGTTGCGACACTTTGAAGGAATTTTTATAATATTGGAGAACTTAAATATTTTCAAGCGCAGCATTGACTGATGATGACCCTATGACGCTGTGGTTAAATAAGGCGCCATAGGGTATAGAATCGAGTCCCATACGAAGTCAATTAATGAGTTGGTAAAGTAATAAATTGGTTAAAAATCAGATTAACTGACAGAATTGTCTTATTTATAATGGGAGTTTGAAGACTAGTTTAAGTATATTTGGGGTAAATTCTTGACCTTTATTTTTTTTTCAATGAAAGATATGATGAAAGAAAAATTTAAACTTCCAAAAATAAATAATATTCCTCAGAACATTATATGTTACAAATTGATGTGATTCATTTGTATTATTTATATTTGATGATTTCACCAAAAAAAGCTATGACATAAAGATAGACTGACAGAGTCAG